GAAATGCAAGGTGGTATAATATTTGAAAGTCAATCAGTATAATTCAACACATCAGAATAAAAGAAAAAAAATACTTGATAATCTTAATAGGTAAAGATCAATGTATGCTGTCTCAGAACATTACATTTTATCATACTCACCAAATATGACATTATTAGAAATCAATTATCTAATAAACAGCACATCTAGTTGTCTCCAGTTGTTCCAGTAAGTCCTAGTTGTTCTTATTTTGTTTTTTAATCTGGCTTCCAGTCCAGGATAAAATATAACATTTACTTTTTATTTTTAAAAATGTGAATTCATAGAAAAACTGGGGTATAGGGTAGAATACAGGGGGTGAGAGGATTCACCAGGGCCAGAATGGGGAGCAGAACAGATGGATCTACTGAAATATACTGCTAAGGGAAGCAGTGGGCGAGACAGGAGAGGTCTGTTGGTCTAGTATGTGGGTCACCAACCTGACCAGGGATTGAACTCGGTCCCACCAGGGAGGCCTGAAACACAACATTTAATTATCATGTTTTATTAGATGTATCACAATCATGATGTAAAAAGAAATCACAGAAGTGTGAACTTATTATAAGGTGAGTAATTTTCTAACACCATTCATGAAAGAAGTAAGGCCCTTGTTACACTTTCCCAGATTTATCACATACTTTCCCCTCAGATACGAGTAACCATTTTTATGATTGTCACTTTTCTTCCTCTATAGTTTAGCTTTACTTGTTTGTAAAATGTGCCTTTCATATATATTTTTTAAGATTTATTTTATTTATTCATACATACAGAACTGGGGTACAGGCCAGAGATGTGGAAGGTGAGAGGATTCACCAGGGACAGAGCGGGGAGCAGAACAGGCAGATATACTGAAATACACTGCTGAGGGGAGCAGTGGTTGGGTCAGGAGAGGTCTGCCTTGACATGTGGATCTCCTCGGGGCAGGCGGGGATTTAAGCTTCTTAGTGCAGTGCTTTAACCCGCTGCCCACCAGGGAGGGCCCACCTTTCATATTTTAATAGTGTAATTGTAAGTAGTAATGTGCAATTGTAAATAATAATAATAGCCTTAACAGTGTTTTAATAAGATATGGCTTCAAAATGTGTTTCTTCGTCTTCATTTTCCCCATTACATTTGTGTACTCAGTGCATTGCATCAGGGGGTATGTAAAGTCTGACTACTGCTGATGTTAATATAATTATTTGATTTCCATACTTACCAAGTTTATTTAGTTTGTAAGATTACTGTTTTCCCCCTTTGTAACAACAGATACTTTGAGACTATGTTAATAATACTGTTTCTTATAAAACTGATTGAAATCATTGATGATTCTTGCCCCAAAGAATACTATAATGTTTTAATATAATGTTTGCTTGCTGCTGAGTTTCTTACCCCCTGCTTCCATCAGTTGTTTAAAAGTTGGAATTTTGGGCCCTCCCTGGTGGCGCAGCGGGTTAAAGCACAGCACTGAGAATCTGAGGCCACTTCCGCATGAGTTCGATTCCCGCCTGCTGCCTTCCCCGGAGGAGACCACATGGCGAGCCAGACCTCTCCTGACCCGCCCGCTGCTCCCCTCAGCAGTGTACTTCGTCGATCTGCCTGTTCTGCTCCCCACTCTGTCTCTGGTGAAGCCTCTCACCGCCCCTGAGCCTCTGGCCTGTACCCCAGTTCTGTATGAATAAATAAATCTTTAAAAAAAAAAAAAAAAGTTGGAATTTTGGACCCTCTCTGGTGGCACAAGTGATTAAAGCACATCACTGTAAAGCAGTTCACAGCCTCTGCAGCACTTGTTCCATATCTGGCCAGGGAGGTGACACACATGGGGCAGCAGACTTCTCTTGTCTCACCCGCTGCTCCCCTCAGCAGTATATTTCAGTCTGTTCTGATCCCCACTCTGTCTCTGATAAATCCTCTCACCCTCCTATATCTCTGGCCTACACCCTAGTTCTTGTATGCATAAATAAATACACCTTTAAAAAAAGTTGGAATTCTGATAGAAGGCAGGCTTTCAATTTGCCCTTACTTCTGCATTTATTTCATTATCCCTTTTATTTTATGGGTTATATTTTATGTTTCTGTTACTGTCATGCATGCGTTGCTGTAACTTGGGCCAGCAGTGGCCCTTGAACTGGTGCGTTTTTGACATGTCTCTTAAATGTTCCTTTGATCACTTTCTTCCTAGCACACACTTTTTCGACTTAAATTTTTAGTTTTCCCAACCTCAGACTGGAAATCGACAATTTCTATAAGGAGAGCTGGTTATTTTCGTGAATAATGGTATTCAGAAGCAAATATTTTGGTGCTAAATATGTCTTTTTATCTTTTTAAAGGGTCTATAGAGCTTTTTGAATTTGATAGCTTGATGTTTTCCGTGAGTTTTGGGAAATTGTTGGCTTTTAGCTCTTTAAACATTACTTCTACTTCATTCTGTCTTCTGGGATTGCACTCACTTTCGTGTGTTTTCAATTTAAGTTGGATGGTTCTTAACATATTTCTTTGTTATCCATCCTTTCCTTCATTTGTGCTGTAATTGTTAAGCTTTTCTCTGCTCTTTAATTTTATATAAAGCCATCTATTAAAATTCTTAACATCAGCTGCTAATTTCTTAGTTACAGGATTTTCCTTTGATGTTTTAAAAAATAGATTGTACTTGTTTGGTCACGGTTATTTTAAAATCTGTGTCTGGTAACTCAGTATCTGTGTCATCTGGCTGTCTGATTCTACAGTATTTCTCTACGTCTACCCTCAATATTTTTTTGTGTAGGAAAACAATTTATCTGTTCATAAAGTTTTTAAAATGTTATTCTTAGGTTTCCTGAGTATAATTACTTGATCTGTCTACATCAGTCAGATTTTTGCTATATTTTGTTTAAACAAACTCCTGAGGCTCAATGGGAACAGCAATGGCTTACTTCTTGCTATATTTTGGCTCCTGGAGATCTGCAATTATTTTCCACGCTTCTTATTTATTCTGAGACTCAGGCTTAAGGAAAACCCTCACTAGGAATATATTGATCTTATGACCAAAGTTTAAAAGATAGGTCATGTGTTTACTCTTAAAAATCTTCTTAGTTGAAGCTCATGTCTCTCCCACTTAGTCTATTGGCCAAAGCAACATTTGTGACCAAACTTGAAGTTATTAGGGTGAGGAAGTGTATGTGTGTTTCTCCAAGGAGACATTAAAGTTAAATGGAAGAAAACAGTGACTAATTGAGATCAATAATACAGTTTCTATTTCACTATCTTTAGTTTCTTAAAGATTTATTTTTAGTTATGCATATAAGAACAGGAGTATAGACCAGAGATGTGTGGGCAGGGGTAAGAGGATTCATCAGAGATGGAGTGGGGAGTAGAACAGGCAGATATACTGAAATACACTGCTGAGGGGAGCCAGGAGAGGTTTGCTGTACCATGTAGGTTAGCCCCATGTCTGGGATTGAACTCATGGTGTAGTGGCTGGTGATAGCTTGATAGCAATGAGATTTTAAACCTTGTACCATCAGGGAGGCCCTATATTTCATTGTCTTACAGAAAAAAATTCACACTTGAAAAAAAGTTATAAGAAGATGTTAATACGGAATTATTAATAATGATAAAGTTATCAATAGTAGGAACTTTATGGTGTATTGAATGAAATATGACAGTTATTAAAATGTCTAATAATACAGGAAAATTATTTTATATAATGTTACCCCTATGTTTATTACTGCATTATTTATAATAGGGAAGATGTGGAATCAACCCAAAACTCAAAAATAGATGACTGGATCAAGATGTGGTATGGAATATTACTCAGCAATCAAAAAACATAGACTCATGCTATTTTCAGCAACATGCATGGAGCTGAAAGGGATCTTGTTTAGTGAAATAAGCTAGAAAGAAAAAGAAAAATTCCAAATGTTTCATTCATGGCAGAAGTGTAAGGGATGAGGAAAAAAAAAAGTTGTAGTCAAGTGAAAATGAAAATCAACAAAAACTGTAAACCAGAGACATTACTATGGGGGCAAAGAGGTGAATAAGATCAAAACTGGTGTGGGAAGAGCACATGGAACAATGGTTATGGCACATGGGTGAATCGGTAATGGGAAGTCTACTGGGATTACAACTGAGGTGAAAAAATGTACAAAATGAAGAATGATGTTTAAAAAAAAAGGTGGTAGGCAGGATAAATAAAACCTATGAGTACAACTATTTATCCACAATCACACATTTGTAAGAAAACTGAAGATACAAGAATGATAACAGTTAATCTTAGAATGATGGACTTGGGAATTTTTATTTTTTAACTTTTGTTTTCTTTAAAGATTTTATTTTTTGCGTAGAACTGGGGTAGAGGCCAAAGGTATGAGGGGGTGAAAGGCTTCACAAGTGAGGCCTGTATTTTTTTTTTTTTTTAAAGATTTACTTATTTGTGCACACAGAACTGGGGTACAGTCCAGAGGCTTAGGGTCAGCGAGAGGTTTCACCATAAACAGAGTGGGGAGCAGAACAGGCAGATTGACGAAGTACACTGCTGAGGGGAGCAGCGGGCGGGCCAGGAGAGGTCTGCCACGCCATGTGGTCACC